CAACACCGACCAGCAACCTCGTATCCAAAAGTTATGAAGTACTGATCCTATCCTTAGTAAGTACCCTAGGTAAACGCACACAAGCCATACAATCGAGTCATGCCTGACACAGAAAGTAATGATGATGATGATCATCGTTCTGTTTAGAGCATGCGAAAAACGACTCACCAATTTTCAAGAACATTGAGATACAACAACGTTGACCAAAGCCTGGGCCGACGCTGAATCTGAGAGAAGATTAAAAACACTTGCTCCCCGCTCTATCCAATATTTTAGGTATTTCTTTTGCAATTCATTATTACGCTTGATGAGCATAGGAGGGTGAAGCCTTTCAGATTTTGTAGTCGCAAGTCTCTCCGGGATGAGAGCTTGATGAAATTAGATGCGGAAGATACGAAAGAGAGCAGGGAACTCACGAAGATTTTAGCCATGCAACCATACGTCGCAGGATCTCTGTATCATCATGATCGGAACTGTTGAAGCCCAGGGTATCAACAAGGACAAGCCATCTCCTAATATCTTGCGGACAGGGAATGGGGAAAGGTTTGAGAGCTAAAGTGCATGACCTGAGGCTATTGCCAACTTGTGCCACATCTCGGTTCAGATAAGAATTGATGAGCTATTGATCAACGTAACCGACGCAGAAATATAGCCCAACGATAACTACCCACCGTGCTCCTTCCAGCACCTGTTGTACCCATGACACTGTGTAGAGGTCGGTGTGATTCAACCAATGCCGGGTGAGGGAGATACGTACAGGACAATGATATCGCCTTCACAGGCATCAGAGAGCAACTCGTCTCGAGATTTTGATGTCACCTCGTCTTGTGGTTTTGATTTTTTAGCACCTCGAGAGAGCTTGTTTCCCATATTTTGTGACAAGGATGATGATGGAAGATTCCAAGTTGGTGTTCAAGATGGTAGTTAACTTGGGAGATGGGTGAGTGAGGAGGGTTGGCTCATTAGCCCAAACCTACTGGCGTGATGCCTTGACAGAGACCATGCTTGAAAGGCGTTGTTGGAGTGAGAATCAAGGGCCCGAATTCATAAGCAGAACGGAATCTTTAAATGTGTTTCGCCATGAGGAAACTCCGAAAATGTCTGTCATAATGCATGCTCCATACATAGCGGTTTCATTTTCCCATTGCGAGAGCGCCCAGTTGGCCGCTAGAGATTGGGATTTGCATTTCCTCACAACTTGTAAGGAAACATCATCTAAAATGTGAAATTTGTGACTTGAACAGGGCGTCAGCATGGATTGAGTCTGACACTCACTGCAAGT